AATTTATATTCTAAATCATATTTAGTGTTACTCAATACACAACAATTAGAAACTTAAATTATTTTTGGCTTTAAAGTTATTCAGTTCAGGATCCGAGAGCACTGTCCTTCCTTTTTTCTTGTTAGTGTCCAAATATTATGAAAAACAAAAGTCAGGCAATGCTCAACTTCTCAGGGTCTGATTTTCATTCTTAGGAATTAACTATGGAGCAAAGTTTGTTGAGAGTATTGTTATAGGTTGTATTTTCTGTTGTGATTGCCACCAAAGTGTGTGGGGAAAAAAATACGTGCACAGTGATCTGGCTTTGCAAGTCTATAATGTACATTCCTGTGGGAAACACCTCATGAAAATTCATCCTCAGACTGCCCCAAGACTACTGTACACATTTCACAATTCACATAATAGCCGTTTCAGACAGCCCACCTGAAGATTAGTTTCAAGGGACCAAAGTACAACTCTCATTACCATCACTTTCTCTCCAAAATCAACATCTCAAACCAGAAAAGTGACATGGAAAAAAGCAAATCCATGAATAATTTGCCAATCACATCTCTTCCCTACACAGTTAAAAGTCTGTCATAAGGGATGTTTAAATTAAAACAACCTAGATGGAAACAGATGGTGCTTTGTCACTTTTCCTATCTGGTTCAAAGTCTCAGTTGGGAAAGGTCCTGTCATTTAAGACTTCTCTTATTCTATAATATACACAACAGAATGAATGTTCTTTCTTCCCTCTTTCCCTCCCTGCTTCCTGACCTCCCTTCTTCTCTGTCTTTCCTTTCTCTCCTTTCCTTCCTCCCTCCCTACTACCCCCATTCTCCCTCCCTTCCTTCCTTCCTATCCATCTATCTACCTGTCTGACAGGTAAAATCTTATATTCACCAATGTTGACTTTAACTGCAGTCAATTTATAGCATGAACCAGCAGGTAAATAAACAGTCTGTTGGGCGGAGCGGAATTAAGCATCCTGCCACAGACAGAAAGCCAATACTATACAAATGGGACCACATGAGATTGGCAGCCATTGACATCTGCAGGCAACTCCTTAACTACTATTACTCATGAATCTCTCCAGATACAGTTTGTAATCGTATCTCTCAGTGGCTCTCTCTAGTTTGTTTCTGCATTAGGCATGATAAATGCATTTTAGAAATTGACAGTAAAAGATTAATATGCTCATAACCATCAAAGAGAACCTTTTACCGATTTCAAATAGCGGCCTCCCCTCTGCCCCCTGCCCGCTGCTCCAAACACACATGCACCATCCAATTAATACTTACTCACGAAGGCTTCCTCATCCACTGGCAAACGCACTGACATGCAGAAGTAGGTATCAGACTATTAAAGAAAGATACAAAATCTGAATTAAACTGCTGCTAGTAAAGAAGAAATTATAACTATTACAAGCATGGCCTCTATGATTGAAAAAGAAGTACTGGTTCAGTGAGGTGAGGTTACCTGCAGAGTGCTGGGTGGCAGGTTAGTGGAAGGGCTAAGTCTAGAACTTAAGTACTCTAAAAGTTTTCCTAAGACTCTTTCCTAAACAACTTTGCATCCTGTTTAGAAAATCAACTGTGAGTGATAGTTCTAAAATTGTCATAGTTAAAAGGCAACATTTTAGATGCTTACATAAAAAGAGTGGAACAATTTAATGCATTTGATTCTAAAATGGCAAGAGTTAGTTTTGACTATCTTTGCTGCTTGCAAAATTAAATATTTAATTTCCTGAATAAATCTGCAAATGCCCCAAATATTAATTAGAGAGGTATAATGAATAAGAGTTGGTCTTAAAATGTAATATTATACTTGGTTGTTCTTTCTTTAACATTTTTATACAATACATTGAAGAAATCAACATTAACTCAAATTATTATTTCTTTCCCAGTTATTGGTCTCTTATCTAAATGGTCATTTTTCCACTCTCAAGTATATTAATATCGAGACTTTTTAGTGATAAAAATTGCAATTTAAGGAGAATGGGCTTCTGCTGATCTGTGCACTCCAGTTCCCTAATGGAAATCCATATGCAGTAAAGTATGTGCTATGGTTGATAATATACCCAATACAAATATAGGCTCCACTCATTTAACAACTCATAGTTCCTGGATTATTACTGCACAGTCCTGGAATCAACCAACATGGTTACCAACATGGATAGAGATCACGGATAATAAGAATAATTACAAACATCTATTGAGAGTTTATTTTGTGTCAGTACTGTTCTAAGCACTCTACATGTGTTAATTCTTTTAATCCTCAAAGCACATTCCTATTAAGCAGGAATTATTATCCTATTATAATCCTATTATGAGGATTATTATCATTATCCTCATTTTACAGACAAGGAAACTGAGGCAAGTCAAGGTTAAGTAACTTTGCAAAGATGCCCTAGCTAATGGCAAAGACTCCCTCCTTGACCAAACTCTAGTCACGCTCCTTTTAGCCCTGTTCTTGATTAGGCATCAACCTTGGCCTATAAAAACTTCAGACTCTCAGCTCAAATGATTTTGTTTACAACCCCCACCCCCCTGTCCCAACACACACATTAAGAGACTTGAACAAATACTAGTATAGTTTCTAACAGCTCAAGGCTGCATCCCTTGGAAGACTCCATCATCCCTTAAGATGCCTGCTTAATAAACTTCAATGGTGCTAGGGAAATTTATTGTTTGTTCCAGACAAAACCTGGTAATAGGTATGGGCCCCTGAACCTTCTCTTAGAGCAGTTACTTTAGAAAGCTTGCAACTATACCTTTTTTCTCCGATCCTTTGAAATGTAAACCTTCTACCAGCCCAAAGTGGCTTCTCACATTGAAGGAGATGGCTATGTTCAGCTCCCAGCCCCATGGGCACCTTGCTTTATTTAACCTATCCCACTACCTCCTGTCATAAAGATATAAGAAGTTTGTTTCTGCTCCCCATAACTGGCAATTGACAAACCCAGGTGTCTCAGGCACATGGACGAATCCTCTTCACACCCCTCAGCACATGCCAGCCTTTAAAAGGTCTCCTCCCTTTTATTTTGGGAGTTCAGTTCACACTGGACCCTTTTCCCTATTGCAAAAGTTACTACTGAATAAAATCCGTTCTTATTATTTTAACTAGTGTCCAGCTTGTTTATCTTGGACACCAGCAAATGCAGAAGCAGGAATCTGAACATAGGCAGTCTGTGCATTATACTAATGCATTACAGGTCATTTGAAGCAATGTGACAAATAATGGCTAAAAAGCAAATGTAAAAAGAAAAATAAATTTAAAGAAGCTAAGTATATATTTATAACAAGAAAGGATCAAAAGGTTGTGACGAAATGCAAATGAACCAGAAGTTCTTTTTAATTTGGACTCAGTTTTTGGTTTTACTTTGATTTTACTGTAAGCCAGCTCAAGTTGTTTTCAGAATAGGCAAGTTATATGCATAAATAGATACGTCAAATTCAGCAAGTTGGTTCTCTTGATAAAAAAAAAAAACTAAGCACAATGATAGCTACATATAATACATAGAATAAAGAAAACTGCTATTTATACTCAGAATTGATCAGATCCATACTGTAATTTTTGTTCTTACTATTAGCTACCCAATTTTAAATGATAGAATAACTTGGGAATGTCTTTTATCAATTTATATTTTTTGGCTAGTAACTTCTGTGCTATTGAGAATGTGTTCAGATTTCAACTATTTCTTTCTTGAGCTCATAAAACCAGAAGAAAGAAAGAAAGAAAGAAAAGAAAGAAAGAAAGAAAGAAAGAAAGAAAGAAAGAAAGAAAGAAAGAAAGAAAGAAAGAAAGAAAAGAAAAAGGAGAAAAGAAAAGAAATGAGCAAGCCAGCCAGCCTCTGTAGAACACCTGTATCCTACACAATTATCTTGGGAGAACAAAGTCTATATTAGACACGGTCACAATGGTTCTACCATGTACCCTCATACTCTGATTTAGTATTTTACTTATGCCCCATTTTTCAAGATAAAGAATAATTCTGTTAGAAGAAGGAAAACTATTTTTTTCTAAAAATGAGCACATTTAAAAACATACTATGTATGAAATCAATAACTAGCCTTTAGCTGAAAGCTCTGAAGACCACAGTTCAATAGAATAGAGAATTGTAAAAGGTAAATTATTCTTTTCTCTACAACTGTAAAAGGCATTGGTGATTCTGTTCTGGGGCACTTTGGTACCATGGCTTAGTTTCTAGAATTAAGTTGAGAACTTAAGATCTATGTAAGTAAAATAAGTCCCCAAGGGTTAATTAGAGAAGCCAAATCTTAAGGATGACTCAGGGGCAAGTTCTGTCCTCCTCAGGCTGGCTGAGTATGTGTAAATACTTTTCTAAAATGAACTACTCTGTGCGTAGGTCTAACAGGCATTGCACCTTTTTTTACAGAAATGGAAATGGATTCACAGAAAGCTCATTCATCTACCTAAGGCCACTCAGGTAGTTAGTGTTAGAGTTAGGATTAAAAGCCTTCAATTTATGCCTTCAAGACCATCAGAGATATAGTTTGTTGTCTTTCTTGCCACTTTCTTGACATCAAGTTTTAATCTAGTTAAACTGTGATTCTAGCAAGACCTTTAAATCTTCATGCCTCTATTTTTCTAACTATGAGACTATATTTTAAATAAAATTTAAAGTTTTTCATAAGTAAATGAATAACTTTTTTTTTTTTACAAGATATGTAATTTGTTGAAGAATGGGGTTGGACAATGGCCTTTGCCAGACTATTATAAGTGCTCACTATACCACAGGGAAAGAAAGATTATTTAGGTGATTACAAAATATTATTTGATCAATACAGGTTAATTTCTATAGCAGGTCACCAAAAATGGATGGTTACTTTAAATTTAATTCCCATGCTGCAAGTATCAATTAGTTTAAGAATTTAAGACAATAATGATGTGTAATCACATAGTTAACTATCACAAACCCTGTGATTGAGCAAACTTTTTCAACAAAGCATAGTCTCCAGAGGCAAGAACAACAAGAAAACTTATATGGTATACTTCTCAAAATAATAAAATCATTGCATCACTGATATGAGCAGGTAATCAGTTGTGTTTTTCTTTTTTGCATGATGAACACC